GATCAAACTTTCAAATAGACGCCATATTGAACAGAAAAGCAACTCGCCGTTTGTGCGGGGCTGGCCCACACGTAGTTCACGTGGAGTCGCGAGCAAGACACGCCCCGGGGTAAAAATATCATTTTGAAATAGGGCGCCAGGTCACGCGTGATAGTGAGGCATTCGTCCTTCCGGATTTTTGAAATTTATCCAGAACTCCTCAAGAGTCTTGCGCGTTGACGTTTTTGATTCGTGCACTAGGATCTGCGTAGTCAGTTAAAAATCATCGGCTTTGTGCTTTTGTGCCCTATCTGTACCTAGAGGAGCGCTTCGATGAATTTCCACTTCTCCATACAGATGTTTTATGCAGACGTGAAGCGATCCACCCATTTCCAGAAAGTATTCCTCGCCGCATGCCTCCTCGCAGTTTTCCTCGCATACATGAGATCAAGTATATTATACCTAAACTCAAGTAATCTCCGTCAATCCCGTTAGGACAGATCATACAGTTTTCTGAGCTGCACAAACGATCATAGAGACGGTTTCGAACTAACTGGCGGCGTACGGTATTGGGTGGGATGTCAATAATCGTTACATAATTTTCTAGACCACTTTTTCTTAAGCACTTTTTAATGGCGAGACTTACTTCATTTGATATGAAGGGCAGCTTAAAGGGGATCCTACTTTCGTCTGAAATATTATTTTGGGAAACCACCCTACGTTTTTGTTTAACCCGAGTGGCTTCTACTTCGTAGCCATTGGAAATGGCAATTTTTCGTGCCATCGAACATCCTCTGAAAAGGAATACAGAAATCAATACCGAAAATTGAATCAAGAATGGGTCAGCACGGCAAAGGGCGCGGGTTTAGAGCCTTCAGTTATTTCTCGACTTAAGAACGAACACCCGATTTACCCTGTCCTTTACTTGCTTGTTAAAACACATAAGCTTACTTCAACTGATGATATTACGTCAACGAACCCATCATCATGTAAAGTTAGACCTATCATCAGTTGTATAGGCGGGCCAACGGAAAGAATAACGTGGTTCCCAAACCTTTTCCTGACCAAGTTGCTAAAATTCATTCAAACCCATCTACCTAACACGAAAATATTTCTAGATCACCTACGGTGCGCGTAGCCAAACAGCACGCATATAATGGAGTCATTCGATGTTAGTTCACTTTATACCAACGTGTCCAATGACTCGGCAATGCAAGCCATTCTCGAGTTGATCGTAGAGCATGAAAAGAAAATAAAAATGCACGGCTTGTCGATTGCGCAACTAATGACTCTCTTGAAACAGTGTCTTAGTTGTTCAATCTTTAGGTGCTCTGGAAAATATTTTGCACAAATTAGAGGGTTGGCGATGGGGCAGCGTTTAGCACCAAGCCTTGCCATCGGTTTCATGTCTGAGGTGGAAGCTCCAGTTCTCGACCACCGACCCTTACTCTACTGTCGATACATAGACGACTGCTTCATCGTCTGTTCCACACAAGAACAGATGGATGAGTGCTTTGAATAGTTAAACCGACAGTCAGAGAATATAAAATTTACACGAGAAAACCTACCGAGAACTGGTTTCCATTCTCAAACATCCAAATAAAGCTCTCAGTAAGTGGCTATGTAACAAAATGGTATCGCAAACCAAGTAGTAAAAACATTCTAGTCCACTGCCTCTCCTCTCATCCTTCACACACGAAAAAAGCACTTATCAAAAATATGTATCGTACGGCTAAAAATGTGTGTACAGGAGAAAAGGAAAGGAAGGAATCGCGAAACCTGGCACGAAAAATGGCCATTTCCAATGGCTACGAAGTAGAAGCCACTCGGATTAGACAAAAACGTAGGGTGCCCCCAAAATAATATTTCGGACGTAAGTAAGATCCCCTTTAAGCTGCTCTTCATATCAAATGAAGTAAGTCACGCCATTAAAAAGTGCTTAAGAAAAAGTGGTCCTGAAAATTATGTAACGATTGTTGACATCCCACCCAATACCCTACGCCGCCAGTTAGTTCGAAACCGTCTCTATGATCGTTTGTGCAGCTCAGAAAACTGTATGATCTGTCCTAACGGGAGAGATGGGGATTGCGTGAGTTTAGGTATAATATACTTGATCTCATGTAATGCATGCGGCGGGGAATATATCGGAGAAACGGGTAGACCACTTTGTGTCCGCATAAAAGAACATCTAGATGGGAAAGCTGAAATCCGTTTAAACACCCCTCTAGGTACGCATAGGGCAGAAAAGCACAACGGCGATGATTTTGAAGTGAATGTGCGGATCCTAGCGCAGGAATCAAAAACATCAACGCGCAAAACTCTTGAGGCGTTTTGGATAAATTTCAAAAATCCAAAGATGAACCGGAAGGACGAATGCCTCACTATCACGCGTGACATGGCGCCCTATTTCAAAATGATATTTGGACCCCGGGGCGTGTCTTGCTCGCGACTCCACGTGAACTACGTGTGGGCCAGTCCCGCACATAACATCACGGTGAGTGGCCTTTCTGTTCAATATGGCGTCTATTTGAAAGTTTGATCTTCATTAATACTTTAACCTTCTTTCCCACCGAATGATAAAAAGTATTCTAACATGAAGTACGTCCAGGCTCTGAGGAAGTCGAAGTCGCCGAAACGTCAGCCATCGATCAATGACATCAAAAACAACGACAACGAGGATCTGTACCAACCTCGCGTCAGCTTAAGAAGATCAGTTTATAAAATCACATAAATAAGTATATCAACTTCTGTTTTTGTCGTGATTTTTATGTGAATCTTATATTTTCATTGCAAACCTCCTTTCTTTCTAGCGTCATTTAAATGTTTTTCGCTAGTTGTTCGTTTACATTGTCATACCATGTATTATTGGAATAGCTGCTCTGACAGGAACGACGTCAGTCTTATGGCGCGATATGACCAAAATTACATGCTGTTCTTTGTTTTTTTATCAGTTCCTTATTGAACTCGCTCTAACATTCAGGTGTAATCCTTTTATTCGATTGTGGCCGTATAATTCAAACTTAGTTTGCTGTTCTACCTTCCTAAGAACTTAATTAGTTGGTAAATCTCACGATAGATCGTGTAGCCATAGTTCTATCCACAATAATCCCTGCTATTCCACGAATGAAATTCCTCTCGTTATCAGTGTTTATACTTGTATCCGGTGTAATATGTAGACGTGCGAGATCTCTACGTATGTTTATCAGAGTCCGCCTTTTTCTCGTCATCGTCATCATCCATTCCACTAATGTTATTTTCATCGTTTTCATGACGCCAAGCTCCATAGTTTTATACGATATTTAAATGTGATTTGCCGCTCATCATTACAATGGACGCTAAGGTGCATTCGTCTCAAGTGAGTTTCGAAAAGGAAACGTTCCAGTAATAACGAATTGAAAATGAAATAATTTTCTAAAAGTTGTCTTTTAGTTTGTCTCGCTAATTTTGTTGCCAAATCCAAAAAGAAGAGGGCGTTGGTACTTGTACGGCTGTAATAAAATTCGTAAATGTGATACAACGACAAAGATGCTGAGTTATTTGCAACATGCATGCAGTCCGGAGTTTAACAAATATCTCAGCATCATTGTGGTTGTATCACATATGATACTCTTCCTTAAAAAAGCAGTAGGCAGTAGATGAAAAGTTAGCATTGTGATTCTTAAATGTTTTCAGTCAGATGGAATGATAAAAGCTGCGTAGGTACTAACGGCATAAACGTTGCTATGTATTTGCTTTGGCGCTTTTCATTCACCCCGAATAGTTCAGTGAGATGTCATTATTGGTAGAAGTTCTGTTTCACGGCTTTTTATACTTTGTATACTACTCTTTTATTAATTGATTAGTGTGGGAGCTTTATCGATTAATTAATGTTTACAGGTGAAAGTCGAAAATGTTTAAAAGTTAAAGTCGCTTGCGCCAATGTCATACCCATTCTTTTTTAAATCTTTGAGATTGGATTATGTCATTCTTCTCTTTGATTCTTGAATCCTTGAAATTTCCTTATGTGATTGGGCTATCGTGGGCTATCGGTACTAATGTGAGTTTTTCACCCTTGGCGCATAAAACTGGCAATTTAGCTAGCGCTGTTAGAAGTCTTGTCGCTATGGAGGGTGCCACTCGCGGGGTGTGTAGAAAAGGGAATATGAGTGTTCACCGATTGTAAATGGCCACCATATCGTTTACTGTGGTGGGATAGTATACAGAGCTTGGTTAACATCTGAAATAGGTTTGCAGGGCTGTCACATCTACCTTCTACAATTGATCTCCACAGAGCAAACATAAGTGCATTTCCTTGATCTTGTAGTTTTTTGCATATTCACTTCGCATATGGTACTAGTCACTTCAGTCACTTCATACGGTCACTTCACAGGTACAGGGGTTCAACACGCCTATTTTGCCAAGTAATTCCTTAGTTGGTTGTCATGCTTGAAAGTTTCTACCGGTGTAAAACACTTTTCGAAATCATTAGTCATAGGAAGAAAACAACAGCAAAGAAATGTTATTACATTATCCATAGACTTGTTCAGGAGAAGGAGGCGGCTCGTCCGCTATCGGCCGTCTTCCGCGTTGAGGACTACGGTGTTGTTAGAAAGGCAAGCATACTTAATCCTGGTAGTACTTTGTTGGCTTAAATTTCAATTAGAGCGATTACCCATTTATTACTTTCCCTGTCTGTTTTTGAACCAGCTACTGTTTTGGAATAAGTTTCAATTGTGAACTGAGCAACTGTTTGAGGATGTACGTACTGTCTCTGAACTCACTTTAAAATCTAAAGTACTGTATTTTGCAGTTTCGCGTTGAGAGTTTTCACACAGAGTCAATGCACTTTTGCCTACGTAAATGAATCTATCACCGAAACGAATCCCGTTTCATGTGAAGCACTGTTGATACAGTCTACATAAGTACACCGCTATTCCATAAGAAGAGGTGTTGAAGGCTAGATCTAACGACCTGATAAAACGCTTTGATGATCATATTTCTCATTTTAGTGATGAAGTGTAATACAATAACGATTATCTCAGGTATCCACATTGGCGACCAATACGAAAAAAGACGTAATGATAGAGACGTTATCCGCAGAAAAGGCGTCTGCTCACGATGTGTCGGTCAGTGGACTCTACCTAATATATTTATCTACTTATTTATTTCATGTACGTATTTGTTTTATTTTGCACATCTGCTTCCATCCATCATGCATGTCTCAGCATCTCTTGTTTTCGATTCGTTTCCTTGTATTCATTATTCGCGAAGGTCCACAACTTTTTGGATGTGGATACGGTTGCTGCTTGTTTTCCTTTCGAATATCATTGAAGGGAGTGGGGTGTAATGAAAGGCTTGGCGAGCCGCGGCGAGGTTGAACTACTGTGCTTGTGACGATCGGCATTACTACCACTCGCTGCCCACTCCCAATGTGTACATACGTGTATATACATGTAAATATTACCGGACTTGTACGAGTAAAAAATTAGCTCGATGCACTCCATTTCGGGACTGTCCAGCCAGGCTATCTCAGAACTCCAGGAAAAAGCAACTCACCGGCATTTTGCGACGTTCAAGATGAAGTGAAAATCCTTAGGGAACAGCCGAAGCCACACGTAAAAGTTGGGAGAACTTCATAGATGATGGATGCGAAGAAACGAATCGAATATGAGAAGTGATGGAATCCGCGCGTAGATGGGAAGATAGGTAGGATAATGTACAGCAAGGAAACATGCAGAATTGATAAATCTGTTAGGGTTGTGTCATACATTCGACTCCATTGTGCGTCGTAGAGGTAGTTAAGGACAAATTCTCCCATACAATGAATAACATGCGTCAGGCGGTGTAGCAAATAAGTGCTATTATTTTCGCAGGTTCTGCAATGATGTATGCCATTCCTTCAAAGGTAGAGGACTTGTTCTGCCCAAGGTGTAGAATCAAACGAAATACTGCATGTGTATTGCAGAGTATCCTTATCTATCGCGGTAGATGCGCTACATATACATGCATATATATACTTACTTGATACTTGAACGGCCCGTCATCGCCAGTTGTGCGGGCCCTAGCATAATCACCATTTTTCGGAGATTTGCTGGTTAAACCATTGTGGTTCGCTGGAATACCGAGGACAGCTTGGTCAAAGTCTGCTCCAGGTCGTCATCAAGACAGGCAGTCACAGCCCTTGTGGATCTGAGGTAGACTTACCACCATGCGACGTTGACACCAAGACGATGGTGGATCCTGGTATTGGTTTACTCTTAGCTAGGCTTCATGGTGCAAACGCCAGACTCCTCATTTTGGGAGAGGGGACGAATCCACTCGCTGTACATCGCAGTCCGCCACCCAGCAACACCTGCCGGTCACGATGAGGCGGTAAACCGTTGGGAGGTGTATATATATATATATATATATATATATATATATATATATATACGTGTGTTTGCATGTGTATATATATGTGTATTTGTGCAGGTGTATATTCATATACAGATATAGTTATTTAAGCACTGCTTGAATGTGTTGCGCTCCGATTGTACTAATGGCATCTCTTCCGCTGAAGCAACTTTGCGAAGGCAGTATCACGGCTACAACGAGTTTGACGTGCTAGAACAAGAGCCTCTATGGAAGAAGTACACTGAGCAGGTACTAACAGTTTTGGGCTTATATATCGGGTCTCTTTCTGAGGATATGCTTCAGTTCCGAAACCCTCTCATTCTTCTGCTTCTCGCGAGCGCCTTCGTTTCACTTTTGATGCGCCAGTTTGACGATGCTGTAAGCATTACAGTGGCAGTAGTGATTGTGGTTACTGTAGGATTTGTTCAGGTACTCAATGTAATGAGAATTCTAGGTGTTTCGTTTTTTCTGCATTTACAATTTTGGAACGTTGGTATTTCAGGAGTATCGATCCGAAAAGACGCTTGAGCAGTTGAACAAACTAGTTCCGCCTTCATGTCATGTGTAGGTGTTTTGTTGAATGTGTTTCGAAGCAATTTTCTTTAACAATTCGCCTCGCAATGCAATATGTCCTGTCAAAGCATCATGAAACCGACTTCGGTTTTTTTTTTCGAAGCCGTAGCGACACGCGTCGTTTTCTTCCTCAGCAATCGCGAGGTTGTTAAACAGCGTACGTTTACTTCCATACAACAACACACATGCAACACAATCGTAGCTGACGTTTCGGCAGAATCGCCTTCTTCAGAGCCTGGAAGGGTACACTAATACGCAACCCAGCAGGTCAAACGCTTCAACAGCACAAACAGAAAGATGAAAATCTGAACAATAATTACAAGATCTACGGCTTCTCGAAAAACCCACCGTTTTTTTCCGTGCCTTTCACTGAAGAAGAGCCGCTGATCAGCGTCGCATATGGTTGACGACTGCACCTTTCCACATCAACGATCGATACGAAGGTACGGGGCGAGATCATGCGTGATCTCGAAGCATTCCTTCCTGCTGTTCATTTTAGGGTTTTTGGCATTTATCCAAAAAGCCTCAGGCAGCTTGCGCGCTGGTGTTTTAGGATCCCGTGCGAGGATACTTTTATATCAAAATCGTCTCCGCCATGCCTAAATGTACATGTTTGTTTAGTGTGTCCCATGCAATTAGTTCGTTCAGTAGTTGTTCGTTTTAGAATACGAAATGGCAAGGAATATTCCCTACTAGCTCGTGAATTGGTGCCGGGAGATGTGGTATTATTGAATACGGGTGACCGAGTACCTGCAGATGTTCGTCTCATCGAAGCCTTTTCGCTTCAAATCGATGAGAGTTCGTTGACCGGAGAGACTGAACCAAAACACAAGGTAAGAAATGGGACAGGAACACCAGTATTAAATGCAATCCTTCATTACAACAAACCATCATTCATAGAACTTTTTGCTCATTTTTACACTTTATTTTTTCGTATATGTTTGTTCGTCTTTGTCAATTTACACCATACTCGACATTATATTAGCGATTCCGCGATTTCACATAGTATTTTTCCTTGGCTGCCAACATAGGTTTCAGGAGACAGAACCAATCACTACATATAATGGTGGTGGTCATGTTGAACATATGGTAAACATCGCTTTTATGGGTACACTCGTTTGCAGTGGAAGAGGCAAGGTCAGTTTGGATGACAACTGATCTGACGGGGAGTTCAATGTGATAGGAGATCCCTTGTCTGGTCTGTAATGAAAAATTTCAAAAATTCTTGTTTTCTTTTCATTTTTTTAACAGTGATATATTTAACATCAGTTTTGCTTCATCTTCATGGATTTGTTGAAAAGTTCATTCTTACTTCAAAAATTTATTTCCTACAAATTCTATTAATGTTCTTGGTTCATACTGAGCCTTGAAAATACTCGGACCAATTATTTATTTGTATTAGATTTCTACTTGCGGGACAACTAAAAGTTTTGTATTCTTTCTTTGATAAGCTTACACGAGGTTGCTAATGTTTATTTTCGGCTAACGTTTCGACGGTTTCGTCTTCATCACAGACCATCTACTGGTACCATCGGCTCTGATTGATAAAGACCAAACCGTCGAAATGTTAGCCAAAAATAAACATTATTTACTAGCCTCGTGTAAGCCTATCGAAGAAGGAATACATATTTACTAGTAATATCGAGGTTAAAAGAAAGTCGGTTTTAAAAGTCTTGTGTTTTTCTTATCATAGATTTTAGAGGTTGTCTAACATGTTTTTTTTAACCGTGCTTAGCTGTTTAATATTGCAGGGTCTAGTGATATCTATCGCGGCGAATTCGCAGTTTGGTGAAGTTTTTCGTATGATGCAAGGAGAAGAGGTATGCGATTCTCTTAAAATGAGATAAAAATTGTTATCGTGTAGTACAAATAGTCAATTTTGTTCCCGAGTGTTTCATTTACTGCTGGATTTCAATTAATGGACCAGGAAATATCTGTCAAGCATCTGATAGTGGCTTTCCTGAAAGAAATCTGTTACTTAACTTTTAGTGATATAGCTCGGGATACCATATTCTTAACCTACCTCATCATTGACTGTACACGAATACTTGCCATAAATGTGATTTTTTTTAATCCTTTTTCAGAGTGTTGTCAAGCTTAGGTGCAAGTAGCTCAAAATAACGATCTACACCTTACTCATGCGATGACGCTTAACTGAAAGACAGAAAGGAAAGTTAGTAATCTGGTAGTGCGATGTCGAGAATTAACATCGAAGAGGATTGGACCATTTCAGCAAAATATTTAGCACTTAAGAGTCTGAAGCGGATTGACTTGCACATATGCATACCACAACTTAATCTCGGCTGTCAGTTTTAAGGAAATATGCCTCAATGTACCTTGTTTAAGCTAACACGAAGTTGTTACCACATATTTATTCGGCTAAAGCTTTTACGTCTTCGTCGTCCTCAAGGCTGGTGACCTAAGTCGATGTACACAGTTCTTTGTGCTGTGGATGTATTGTCTTCATTGTCGTATCTAATCGGGTTTTCTTCAGTGGAGCCATGGCTCAAATGAAGCCACACTACGGCTGTTGTTGATATGATTGTCCGGGATAATAACTTAACAAAACTATGTCCCAGTTTATAAAAGACTTTTTTATCTAAAACCGCGAGAATCTACTGATCTTAACCAAGAGGCTACACATTTTCTCATACTGCTACAACGGAATTTTAATTTCGCGGAACGCTATGTTATCAATCTACAACGTTGAGGCCCATATTGTAAATAGGGAAGCGATAATGTGGTGTCCTCCAGTGTGTAGTTGATTTTTGAAACTGTTGGGCCTACATTGGAAAGTTAAAAAAAATTGGATTTTTCCTTCATTTTTTGAAATTCCTAAATTACCCTGAAATTGAAACAGCATTCTTTGAAAAGAGAATTTACTCTAACACAAATAGATGGATGTTTAATGCAACCACAATGATACTGAGATATTTGCAAGACTCCGGGCCGTAGGTGTCTGCGGTGGGGAGCTAACGCGCCATTACCCTTTCCGAGCGCTAACCCGTTCACCACCACACCATGCGAGTCCTTCGTTTCGCCTCTCTCTCTCAGCTAGTTTTATTGATCACTACCATCAGCAATCGCCCTTCAACGGGATTGATTTGGGAAGCTCAAATCGGCAATGAACCCAGTTTAAGCTGAGGCTGTAGTCGGAGCGTTGTAAATATTTCAGCATCATTGTGGTTGTATCACACATGATGCCCTGTCTCGAAAAATTGTAGTAGGCAGTAAATAAAAAGTTAACAGACGTAACAGAGTTATGTTCTATAATTGTTTTGAACTTGTGATCTCCTGATGTGTATAGTTATCGGAAAATTATCAGCGGTTTTTGGAAAGTACCTCGGGCTCTAGGCATTAATGTAGAGCTTGTAGTACATCTTTGATGACGTGTTCCGAGTCTAATATTTATTTTAACTTATTATTTACCGCCTACTCTTTTTAATGGCAGGGTATACCTTGCGAAATATAAGTTCAATGATGCTGAGATATTTGCTCAGTTTAACTGGGTTCGTTGCTGATTTGGGCTTCCCAAATCAATCCCGCTGACGTGTAATTGCTGATGGCAAAAAGATCGATAGAACTAGCTGAGAGACAGGCGAAAGAAAGTCCCGTATGGTGTGGTGGTGAGCGCGTTACTCCCCGGAAAGGACAATAGCGCGTTCGTTCCCCACCGCACACACCTGCGGTCCGGAGCTTTGCAAATATCCCAGTATCATTGGAGTTATATTTCTAATATTTTTACCCATTTCAGCAGTTTCGTATTGAATATCAACTCCAAGGAATATGTTTTTAAGCAATTATCTTTTTACATATGTTGTTTCTGACTACGTTTGCAAAAGCGTTAGGAAACGTTTAATGAGTCAAACTGCAAAAACATCTTTGAAACTAATGAATCAGAATAAAGTTAGGTCTTGATAAAAATTTTACGAGAAGTTTTCGCTACTTTCGAGTTTCTTTGCCTCCCAAAGATTCCAGCACACATAATGTTGTGACGAAATTAATTACTGTGACCGAAAATGGGTTAGTACTATGACCGGACCATACGTAATGTTGTATCAAAGTTCTATCTATATCTGATGACATTTCAGTCACCAAAAACTCCGCTGCAGAATAGCATGGATCAGCTCGGCAAGCAGTTGTCGTTCTACTCGTTTGGTGTAATCATTTTGATTTTCGTCATCGGCTTGGTCCAAGGAAGGAAGGTGTTAGATATGTTCACAATAGGCGTGAGGTACGAGGGATTCAACAGCTCATAGACTTTCTCCACGCTAATAATAGATACATATGCACATAGTTAACATTAAGACAGCTTAGCTAATGATCCGGTCTCGTTTAACCAATTTGCAAGGTTTTTTCTGAGAGTCTTTAGCAAAAAAATATGTGAAAATAGTTGAGAAACGAAATACGGATTAGCTTTTCTGGGTAGTATTGAGTATTTTTAATCTTAACTTGCAAATATACAAATTTTAGCAGCCGTGTTTGCTTATTTTACTATAGTGAGATTCTGAAGTTCCTAAGATCCAATTTATATTAACCTCGGCATTGGTTTATAAGTGCGTCGTATTCTTCCTCAGCATTCACGAGATTCTCATCTTTTCCTGTCTTATTGAAGCGTTTGGCGTAGTAGGTTGCGTATCAGTATGCCCTTCCAGGCTCTGAGGAAGGTGATATTACCGAAACGTCAACTACGGTTATGTTGTATGCGTGTTTTTGTATGCAAGTAAACATATGCTGTACAACAACCTAGCGATTGCTAAAATTCTAAACTTCTTGGAATCCTCTAGCTGAGTGAAGGCGCTTTCATTAGCGTCTTGGTTGTTTGTTGAAGGTCGTTGTGAAAATGCTTGGAAAAAAAACAAAAGCAATAGTCAGTTGGACAAATATTCCTTGAGTGCGCCTGGTAAGGTCACATTTCGTGTCATTTATTCATTCAACTATTGCATCGTGTAAAACGTGTGGATGGGCGCTTTTGAAAAAGATCTTGCGTTACATAGTTCCCTCTACTGGGTGCTAAAAAGTCATCGTAACCATTTTTTGATGCAGATTAGGCTTCGGTAAATGTTTTGAACGTTAAACTCGAGTCACCCTTTTGTGGTTCATTGACTAAAAAAGAAATTGCCTGCAATAACACTGTAATGAACAATCATTTATTACACGATTTATATACCAGTTTCTTTGCTATGGAGACGGCCATTATCTTTATTTCAAACTAATACATTAGTTAATACCTACTTACCCATCGTCTTCGATTCATCCGATGTTGAAGGTTCTTATGTTCGCGATAATTTTGAAAAGAAGCTCTCATCGTAGGTTCGTAAACGGTTGCCTCACCTATTGCAATGCTGATATTGAGACCATTTTCTGCAGCTTCACTTCCATGCTTGAATTTATTTCAAATTTTCTTTTGGAATTTACTCTTTTCTTTCATATTTATTTAGCACTCTAAATTGGATTCAGATTAACCTGAGATCAAAAACATTGACGCGGTTGTGTAGAGACAACCATAACGATGCCGAGGTATTCGCTGAACTTGGACCCCGAACCAGATCGAACCAAATTTGTAGAGACAATTGTTCGCTTTCAAGTAGTCTGCAATGCAAATACCGTGGTAATTTCTTACTTAGAAAGAAATAATCAAGGCTTAAGTGGACTTTGAAAACTTGAACAACTTCCCGGTCATTCAAATTCTTGTTACGTCTCTTTTTTCATTTTCTATGTATAACGTATTGGTGGTTTGTAGAACCTTTAGGTTGGTCCAGCAGTTTTATAAGACCTTCATAATTCTGGCGCGAGACAGTACTAATTTATTGCTGTGTTATGCTCTAAATTACATACAACAGAAGAAAAGAAAAGAGAATGTCGTGGTAGATCCTAAATTATTAACACATTTCAAAAACCTATTACGGTGTTTCTACACTGTTAATGTTATGATGCGGATTTTTTTCTACTGTTTTGAAACTGAAGTAGATTGAGTGACTAGAAAAAATTTTGATATCACCCCATAAAACAGGTATTATTGGCCAGCAATTTCATCTAATCACAGATTGGACCTGCATGCGAGGAATTCACTGGCTTTCGTTTCGGTGAAAAAAAAAACAGCAAGTAATCAACGTTCTTCAGTTATTTCCCTTTAGCGTTAAACAAATTGCACACAGCTACTTGAGCGACGACGTGACCTCCATAGTTATCATACGGTGCGGAATTAATGGCCACTGTCAACTTTAAATCAGCGTGTACCAGAAAATATTGAACTTTATTAAATGACATAAAAAGTTCGGTGAGCAACACATGAGCCATCGGAAAGGGCAATCGCGGGTTTGAGTGTGGCCTGTGGTCTGAGTTTTGAAAATCTCTCAGCATCATTTGGTTGGATTTCGCGTAATACCCTACCTTGAAAAAATAGGCAGTAAATAAAATGCTATACATTGAAATAAAAACATTTAGAATCTACAAATCTTTGCCTACTGGGTAACCTTGCTTTAACTATGGAATTCTAATTTTTTGGAACCAATGATGTATATTTCTTCCACATTATTTCTTAAAAAACAAATGAACGATCGTCGATCGGGAGTTCGTCCAGCATGACACAGTGGTCTTACCCACCATACCGCTTATGTTTGCAGCTGTTTCGTTGAAATTTCTAAAATCATAAATATCATTGTTGAATTTTGAAAGGCTTAGTTCCAAAGATACTTAAATATGAAAGAAGATTGTAAGAAATTACATATGCGGTTCATTTCTGAACTCCTAAAATACTGTAATGATCGAGAAATCCTGTTACTCATCGAGAAGTCGGCTTTGTCGCAAAAGCTTTAACATTGATTCTGTACAGCCCTCTTTTTAGTCTTGCGGTGGCTGCTATTCCGGAAGGGCTTCCTATAGTGGTAGCGGTTACACTGGCAATAGGCGTAATGAGGATGGCTGGGCGACGAGCTGTAGTGAAAAAGGTGGTTTTTGAAAAACAATTTTCTTTTTCCTTACGTCTGTATGAATAGGGCTGACAAATAGTTATAAAAAACATGCTAGCAATCCGAGTTCCACTACATGATTTCATTGAAAAAGAAAGCTAAGTAAATGAATTCAAGTCTGCACATAATTTCTACTTAAATGTAAGAATCAATTGCAGATGCCGGCCGTTGAAACGTTGGGTTGCGTGACCGTTATCTGTTCGGACAAGACAGGTACACTAACAAAAAATGAAATGACAGCTACTTGTGTTGTCACCCCAGAGGGGCGTCGTGCTGAGGTGAGTCCAGCATGAGGACTCTTTTACTCTGGTTAATTACAATCAAGCCACATCAATAGTATTTGCTCCTGTTTTGATATGACATTATTTGCCCAGGACATTCTTAATTTAACTAAGTTTATCTTTATCCACTTCATGGTAGCTTAAATCTTTCATTTGCTTACACATATCTTTTCTCATTTTAAAGTATTTTTGGTGTTTTAGTAGATCAGGTAACGCTGGTGGGGTGTCGAAGTTTTCCGTACACTCCCATAATCTGAAAAAACTACAATCTGAAAGGAAGTAGCGCAAGTTGGTGGCGACTTCCTCTTGTTTAATGAAATGTTGGAGATCACTTGATAATTGTCTCTCTTGATGTCAAGTTGAAATTCAGAACAATCAGCAACTAAGCTTTCCAATGTCTAGTTGGTAGGTAAAGAGTACAACCTACATTGTTGTTTTAGGTAACTGGTCTAGGATATATTGTCAGTGGAGGCCAGTGTACTTTTGAAGGCGAGCTAGTGATGGGTTATAGTCATCAGGAATTTGCTAGTATTATTGAGGTATTCAGCTTCTCATTCTCAACATAGTTTAGTGATTTGAGGTTCCACCTTTTAATCTCCAATATTTATCCTCGAAATGCAATATAAAACTTTTTCATATTTTTTAGGTAGGTGTGGTATGTAACAATGCCAAGATAGTAGCGGATACTGTTGTGGGACAACCGACGGAAGGTGCTCTCGTGGTACTTGCTCAAAAGGTATTTCATCTAAAACTGGACTTGCTTTGTCTAAATTTATTTGGAGGTTAGGAATGTCACTAAAACTTCTCTGTCTCTATAAAAAAACTCTATCAGAGGTCCCTCTTGATCTGAGTCTAAGGAACACCAAGAAAATTTCCATTCGTTTTGGTTGCTCTTGGTTGCCCGACATTTTCTGTCGCTTATGAAACGCATCGTCATAGTTCTCATCAGGTTGTTCATAAAAAAAGTCTACAGTATGACGAAGTTCCTACAGTGCATGCTTGAGAATTCGTGGAACACTGTTGTTAATGACTCAATAGACCGACTTTCTATAAATCTGGGCATAAATAATCGATATATTTATTCTTCCTACAAACACGCTACAGAACCAATACAAGCGAGTAATACGATGAGAAAGAGGTGACCCTTGAGACAGTAGAGCAGGTCTGCTACTGCGTGCTGCGTAGGTTACTGACCTACGTGTGAGGCACAGAACGTTGTTTAACTTTTCATATTTTGCTTATCATTTTTTCACAGAAGGGTATAATATGGCGAAAAAAAATATAGGCCAGATTCGAACCCGCAATTACCCTTTCAGGAGCTCACTTTATGTCGTGAAAAATAATAAGTAGTAGATAAGACATTAAACATTTACGATTGTTAAGGCGAAGCCGAAGTTTAGCTGGGTGCAATGCCGATTTATGCTTCACAAGATCATGCTTGTTAACGGCTGATTGCTGATGGCACCATTAGGCAGAAAACTTGCTAAGAGAAACGCAAGTGGTGACGTGCGGAACACGTGAGCGTCCAGAAAGAATAGTCGCGGTTTCGAATCTAGCCTAATGTCCAAGTTTTGCAAATATCTCAGCATCTTACTGGTTGTAACTTATGGCAAGGTTGTATGTTAATGAGTGCAGGAGTCCACAGATCCTCAACCGAACGAACTCACAAACAGGTCCGACCACTGAGTGAGCGCATAGCACCGAAAGGGACAACAGAATCGTGTAGGAGGATGATGGCAGTCTCTATACGTCGTTTGAATGCAAATGGAACTGCTATGGGTCGTGACTATGTTTTAGCTGAGCTTATATGAATTTATATGTGTAATTTTGCAGAAAACTAATTTAATCGTGGAACGGCAGATACTGGAAAGTAGATGCAGCCGCAGTATTTCAGTGCCGGAACTGTTGGACAAGGATGAAAAGTTCTCGCAAACAAATTTCAGAAGCCCTTTTTCGCCAGCGGCGAAACAATTGCACAATATAGCCGTTAAGAAGAAATTTGCTGAAAGTGCAAGGAAAGTAGGTGAAGATGCAGAGAACACCCGTTCTTTGTGGAGAATTGTTCTATAGATATAGCCTACAAAGCAGTGATAAATATGGTCACCAGTAAACTTAATGACGAAACATACGCTAGTATAGAGTACAAGAATTCGGAGAATATCCATTCTTTCTTTGATAAGCTTACACGGAGTTTATAAGTATTCCTTATTTTCGAATAACGTTTCGACGGTTTCGTCTTCATCAGAGCTGGTGATCCGAGTTGATGGTCTACAGTTGAAATATTCGGGGGATATTTACTACAATCGTGTTGATTTCCCATTTGGAAGTATCCTGTTGATCCATAGAGCATGGACAAGACATCAGGAAAAAATCTGTTTTTCGTGTTTTTCCGTTATTATTTCAAAGGTTCAACTTAGTCTTTTACTTCGGATCTTGTTCAGCTGTTCTGGGTAGGTTGTTTTCCGTCGACGGATCGGTGAATGTTTGAATCTGACCGATGGATGAATTGGAACGATATCACCAACAAAGCAAAGATGGTGTAATTGTCAACCAGACGTCTCTAGAAATGGCACTGAACAACATTGACGAGATAGAATCGTTTTGTGTAAGACCTTTTTTATGTTGATAGTAGTGTCGTTGTGAAATTGCGAAAATTCTGCTCAGGAACATGTAAAAATCGTGAGTATTCTCACTCGATTCGATATTACTAAGACACTTCCCAAGAAATAGCTTCTGTAGGCTTGAATCCTCGACTTGAATCATCGCAGCTCTGAACAGAGCGAAGGTTCAGAAGCGTTAGCCTTAATAGAGGATTCTAACAGCCTTGGGTTAGCTTATCAGTGCAGTAAGATGTTGTTCATTCACGTTGCGGCTAAGTAAAAATCGGTCTTCGGAAAATCTTTATCTACTAACCGGTTTGTGGTTATAGAAAGAATTTACAATAATTAATTGTGAAATGAATCGAAATGAATAAATCTGAAAATTGTGTCATTTTGTGTCTTGATGACATTTGGGAAGAAGAATAGGTGCAGGTGGACTGGGTTGTCAAAGACGCTGCGGTAAGTCTTCTTCATTGTCGATGGTAATTTTGGTTACGTATTAACAAATGGAGCAAGCGGTAGTTAAAATTGTTCAAGTCCAGTTCTATGCTAAATCTTCAAATAACTACTCAATTCTTGGAAATTTTTACATTGCTTGTAATTGAAATTTATGTAGTTGAATATAACCATATGTGTAGTGATCTCACAATTGTTATAGACAGGCTTGGAAGGTTGTCGTCAAGATTACAGACGCCTTCGAGAAGTTCCGTTCACTTCTGAGTCCAAGTGGATGTCCGTTCAGTGCGAAAAAAACGTTCGTTCAATGTCCCCTGTCTCTGCGATTTATATTGTAGTGAAACTAAATAATTTACGCTTTCAGGGCAAAGCTGTGCTCTTCGTGAAAGGCGCCTTGGATCGTATACTACCGCTGTGCGATTCATATTTCTCCGCTGATGGCACAAGAAAGGTCTGTTAACTATTGGATATATAGAAATTACGCGCATAAAGAAATCCCATTATCGTGATGCAATAGAGTCCATCAGGAATTGACCCTTAGAGCAACTTACTAATTACAACGAGTATGACAGAAGAGTTGGTGCAATAAATTCTATACAATCCACCCAAAAGAATAAAGCAAAAAATCGACATGAGCTGACTGAACACGCTACTATTCTTCTTGTTGGAGGAACGAAGAAACATCGACGGCGTAGGTTCGTCGCATATCGAACGCATGTGTTATCTGTTGCGTAATCTTATACAAGATTCTCTCAATTCACCTTACTGTTCGGCGTCTTCACTTTTCGCGGTAAAAGAACAGTATCATCAATGCTACTTATCACTCTGTATAGGCTTATTTGATATGTTCAATAATCATATGTGCATAGAACGAGAAACGCTGTAAATTTGTTGCCAGAAGCTTCAGTGCTAGTATAAAAAAGACCAGTGAGTGTGAGTACAGGATCGGGAAATTTGGAAAAGGATGCGGAAGTAATGGCCTGTGTAACGCAGTGGCTGGACGTGTCATAAAATACACATGGGTTAAATTCTGCGCCCCAGGCCATCAAGCCTTCCGTTTGTCTTCGGTCGGCAAATTGGTACCAGACCTGTCTGAAAGGATACTGAAACTGACTGAATTCGTGCATTCCTCATGAGCTGATCAACGTCGAGAACTTTGTCCTTTTATCTTTAATCCGTAGTAAGAAGGGTAAGTTTCATTCTGGATTGCTGCCTATCAATGCCTTTTCTGTTGAAATCCATTTTTTCCAGAGGGTCGCCGTTGGACAAGAGAAGTTGTATAGGGCAAGAATATTCTGTGCTAAGTCCTTTCCTAAGATGAGTAGCAAGTCAAGGAAAACTCATCCGAAGACTACAAGTTACTTGTCTAAAAGAAAAAAGTTGTGTTGAATACGCCTCGATCCTTCCAAGAAATTTAGAACGTTTTACCACCGTCGGCGAGTTGTTTGACAAGGGAAGAAAACTTGTGGCTTGCCGTATTAAAATACGCCTAATATTGCCGGTAATGAAAGGTAGCTGCAGAAAAAGTTACTGTGGAAGCTTCGGTATAGAAAAAAATCTACTGGAGTGAGGTTAAAGAAGAACCATTCTGAAGACATGTTGCCAGAACCTACTCTATTACAGTGTCCTGCTATCAGATCCAGTTAACGTACCTGGGATTATAACTACCATTCCCTGTGATCTGGAACTGATACCGGAGAAATTTACTTGTCTTCTTCTTTCCACAATTCAAGACCCTGAAATCCAATTTATAAAAAACTCACACTATTCTTTCCTCTGACGCCCGATTGCGATCAAGAGCATGAAAAGGGACTGCATGCTCAAATTAGATACACATCACTATGTAAACATCAGATTACAAAAGAAACATTTTCACTCTGTTTAATCTAACTGCAAAAACCCCATACGAATTTTTTCAACTCAGTAATTTTTAGATGACTGGGATTTCTGAGAACCTGACGGTTTGAAAGTGTTAAAGAAGAGGATTTGCATAACTTCTAGTTTGTGTGGTGGATACTTTTGTTTTCCTCACCTGTCACACAGGTTTTTTTTTGCTGCCGCAATCACTCAAACCTCCAGCCTTTATGTTCTCTAAGAATCCAAAAATAAATGCCATTTTTCAAAAAATTTTTAACTTAAAATAAGTGCGACGACCGCGAATGTCAGCGATGCATTCGCAGACATCATTGCGTCCTGTACAAAACAGTACTTGTTCAATCACTTTGTCATCGAAGTCGCTTGGATGAAAAACAAATGGGAAATTATTTATGGGTTCCAAAATAATCTGTATCTTGTTGAGAAGGACTTGAATATTCCATTTTTGCTTCAATTAATAAAGTAAACTATCAGCTGAGGGAAGCTTGTTCGGAATTGAAGAACTGAGCTATCTCAGTGGACATGTATACATTGAAACCAAGTGGCATAACCCAGGGAGGTATTAAAGCTCTGCCGAGTTCCATTGTAGTCTACTACCACAGATGTTGTTATCAACTGTGATCTTTTCAGCCTTTAGACGAATACGTTCGTCAACGGATAACAGATGGCGGGCGTGGTCTTGGAGCGACTGGACTGAGAGGTTAATTTAGTCATCTTTCATAGCTGTATTTAGTCATTCAGAATTGTGCTAGAAAGATCAAAGAAACAACATCTTTTAACCATAAATTGGTTGTTATTGTTATTAGGATCTATTAGGTTATTAGGATCCGGAGACAAGTAGGAAATGGACAGGACTTTGATACATGGTTGCTAAAAGAATGTAGACTATTTTTGTAGAGGTTATACTGCTGTTGTTCCTAGTAGTCTGTCATCTTTGTTATGATTCAAATCTTAGCAGTTGGATCATCATTTTTCATGACCAATCTCATTTTTTATATTGGGATGTAGTTTTTCGTTCATTCCTTGTTCTCCTTACTCTCTTTAACAAGTTTCTGATTAAGTATTGGCAATGGCTCGAGGTGATACGATGCAGTCTCTGATGTTGGTCGGAATGGTTGGAATGCTCGATCCTCCAAGACTAGGGGCACCCGGTGCCATTTCAATGGTTAAAGCGAGTGGTGTTGAAGTGAAATTAATAACCGGAGATTCTCAGGAAACTGCACAAAGCATCGGTACTTTCGTCTATTCAAAATTTTTGCCTATAGAACCACGTGGTTTTTTTTACCAATTGGGCTCACCTATTTTTAAAATAATGTTACCCTTCTTAAGACGTCAGCGGAATCTTTTGTTTGGATTAGTTTTCGTTAGCTCAAACATTTTTAACCTATATTTTGAGCGATTTATATGGCGAGCAAAAAAAGGTAAAACAAAAAAAATTAGCTCGATGTAAGGAAGAGAAAAGCTAGTCGTGCAACTGATTGCAGGATCGATGCTAGGTCTGTACAGTTCTCCACGTGACAGCTGTCTCTCGGGTGCTCAAATGGACAGTATGTCGGATCAGGAGTTAGAGTTGGTTATTCGTCAGGTGTCTATCTTCTACCGCGCATCACCTAGACACAAGCTGAAAATTGTTAAAGTGGGTGGATCAAATCATGTTTGCGTTTTTTCTTCTGTCATTGAGATCAATCCATAATTTCAAGGTTGGATATTTCAGAATAGGTATCTCTAAAATAAGTATAGGGATTACGAACATTTATTATTCAGTACTTAGAATTGTTTTATGTAGTTCTTAGGACGTACTTTCTATTAATCTGTACATTAAACCTATTAACCGTTTGTCTGTAGCGGTTATGAAAGTAATTGGCCGAGTAGATTGCATATCAATTTAGCCCTTACAGCCCTGAAGAAGGCGCGATCAACGTAACCTTTAGCTAATGTGAAATAAGTATTTCAATGCGAATCTTGTCTATGTTCGTCAAGAGAACATTGAATTTTGTATAATATTTGCTGTCCAAGTTATCGGATTAACCAGTTGTACATCCACTTCAGCAACACGAAACTGGTTCCCATATCATAGGGTGTGCAAAGGATGAGACACCCGTAAGGAAGCACTAGCGAATTAATTTTCGCTTCATACGTTTTCTAAAACATGTTTACAATAACTGTTGTACAGTAATCACTGGATAAATTGCTGTTTGCTTTATCACGTAAACGAATCGTATTTTTTAATGCTAGGATAATAAAGGATAAAGCCCACGGCATTGATTTATCCCAGAGGGATGTTCCATGCATTCGACTTCATTAAGAAGCATCGTCGGCCGTGGTTGAATGCATATCTAGCTTTTACAATGACTCGCACTGGCCTACCAATGTACCGAGGCTGTGCTGCTATCCTCCCAGACAAGTCTGGTACCAATTTACCGACCCCTGAAAGGCTTGGTGGGCCATAGGCGTGGGATCGATTCCACGTGTGTGCCGCAGGGTGCCTCCGACCACTCCACCACACGCCTCTTTTAATTACATCACACTGATATAGACTTTTATTGTTAGAGGGATGATTATTTTGTGGTGGGCTGGGACGCACTAATGACGATTCGTTGAAATGTTCTGGCCTTTACTATATTGTGGCGAACTGTGTTTTTTAAATGCTTTACTTCTAATTAACATCATGCTGAGGTAAAAGCGATCACAGGAACATCTAGGTTTTCAAAAGTTTCGCTTTCAAATTAGGATAGTTGACCAAAAATGAAATTTAAAAAAACGAAGTTTATTAAGTTCAATAGTTTGTGTTAGACTACTTTTAGTAAAAATAGCTTCTGATCATTTGGTTTCGATCGTTAAGTGACACTTTCGAATCAAATCTTTGTCATTTCACAGGCTCTGCAAGGAATTGGCGAAGTAGTGGCTATGACTGGTGATGGTGTAAACGATGCAGTCGCATTGAAAAAGGCTGATATTGGAGTAGCTATGGGCTTGGGAGGCACGGATGTATGCAAAGGCAGGTGCATTGCTCAAAGCAGTTGTAACCGGCATATTTACCTCGTTGTTTAGAAGCTGCTGATATGATTTTATGCGATGACGACTTCTCTACAATGACAGCAGCTATTGAAGAAGGAAAAGCGATTTACCATAACATCACTAATTTCGTTCGCTTTCAGCTCAGCACGTGAGTTTGCTATAATTGCAAATAGTGGTAGAGAAAAATCAAATCAAATGCTCCACTGTTTATGCTGGTATACTCCTTACACCATTGTCAGCCCAAATGTTATACTACGAAACATTGTTTAATTGTAACGTGGAGATCAGTGTTACAGAAGTGTGGCGGCACTGTCCCTGATCGCAGCATCAACCATGTTTCATTTCGAGAATCCACTGAATGCAATGCAAATTCTCTGGATTAACATAATCATGGATGGACCTCCAGCGCAGAGGTTTGTAGGCTATCGTATTCCATTTTCTCCTACAGGTGAAAATATATCCCACTATTTTCTCACTTTTACCGAGGTAATAAGGCTTTTCGACTCAGTTGAGACAAAAATGGTCTAGCAGTTTTTGGTCAGCCTGGACATTTGTGCTAAAAAGGAAGATTTTCCATGAATGTATTATATCGTGGCCGGCAATTAAACTGCATGGACGATTTATCATCAGAGTTTAACAAACAAGAACTAGCGACTTGAGAAGTATACACGATTATCGAAGATAAAATAGAAAAGGTAAAACATTTGGCAATGATCAGTTTCTTAGGAGTACACCATGCATTAAATATCGTAGGAGTCGTTGAATACACGTTTAGTTTATACAGTAACTTGGAGTGCACTACCTGCACCAAATACTTCTGTGCTACCAAGCTAGTCTGCAATCAATTTGACAATCCCGTGGGAAGAAAAGGCCTGGGATTTACCGAGGCCACTGAACGAACCAAACCATCTGTTTTGTGGAGGAACTTTAACCACTGAGCGACATACACAATATATGAGCAATATAGCGACAAAGCATTGAACATCGTTTCGAAGATCGAACAAAACTAAAGTCGTATGTACTATCGAAAGAACGATCATAGTGTTATCCTGTACCAGGCAAGTGAATTAGTCGGAGTTCTTGCCCACGTCGATGACCAAACAGAGAGCTGGCCACAGCATGTAAGGAAACCAGTGCAAAAGAGACAAGTGAGGCTGACGAGATATCACATACAGATCAGGGTGATCACCAACCAGGTAGTCAGGCTTCTTCAGGAAAATCATAGATTTAAAAGGTGCTGTTTGGTATTCTTTATGTTTCTTGAGTGAGCAAGGCCCACTGAATAACTCTGCAATGCGACAAGGCCAAGTAGAGTTATAATGGCCTCGCGCTGCATTTACTCCATGATCAGCAAAGTGATGGTTGATGCAGGTGATTGTGTTTTCATATCAAACCCAATTTTCGTTCATCTGATTCTTCTGGGTGTGAACTTATTTATTTTCTTTCAATATTTTATTCCCCACTAACTTGGCGTACCTGCTACCAATTGATTTTGAAATGATGGAGTATTCAGTTGACGTAAGCATCGGTGTATTCAGTGAATGTGCATGCGCAAGCATGATTAAACTGGTGGTTAGCCCTGTTTGACACATAAACCAGTCTTATTGTAAGAACACCGTGATTTTTTTTATTTCCTAAATGTGTTCGTGCTTTGGAATTTCCTTTAACATCATAGGTATCGAGGTGTCCTGATTCTTTGCGCATTCGTTTACTACAAAATTCGTGATTGCGGTTGATGAGGAAATGATGGCATTATGACACTTGTGAATAAATTGTGTAATAAATTTTCGTTATTATGTAGAATTTTTAAGCTTTTTTCTTGCCTGACTATTTAGTAAGTAATGCCATTCCTAGCACATAATTGAAGAAATCTCTCAGATTGAAATGACGACTTGAAAGCACGAAATTCATATTCTCCTTTCACATGAGTTCCACAGGCACGAGCCGGGGAAGGTTCCGCAAACATAAAGCAGAGGGGATTCGTAGATTTCGCACCGGAGATAGAAGTCTTCATAAGGAAAACTTTGTGAGCGCTTTCCAGCAGTTAATGTGGAACTGATAGCGTTGGTCGAAACTAACCCTCGAAAAAACTGCTTCAGAAGGTGCAGGAGAACTCAGCATTTTCCAGCCAAACATGATTCGTTGCTTAAAAACCGTCGAGTAGGTGAGAAAGCTTAACTAGCGGGACGACACTCATCGAAGTTGTAATGAAGTCTGTTCTACGTTTCTTTTACTCTGTAAAAACTAAGGATTATTTGACTATAATACTACTTATGAAAAGTGGATCGTATACGTCAAGCGATGGTGTTCAGTAATTAGACCGAGTTAGATTTCTTAAGGTTTTCAAGGTCTAATTTGCATCAGAAGATAGTTATGATGACTTCCAGGTATTCAACAGGAGAAACCATGTAATGCAAAATCTTCGGTTTTTGTGAAACGATCACAACACTGAAGTATTATCACGAAGTTGATGAAATCCTGAAGGAAACTGCAGTGATTTTTCCCAAAAATGACCATCATAAAAGTCCAATGCTCCTGAACGACAGCACTATAACATCACTGTACAGCCAAGTCTTTAACAGTTGAATAAATTGTGTACCAAAACCATACCGCATACACCGTCCTCTCCACACTTTTCCCGCTAACCAGCTTTCATTTTTGCAAGACCTCTACAGAATGAGAAAACCTTCAACATCCGAACCGCTGATGAAAATTGGATGTTTTTCTTCAATAAGCAGACACGGGGTTGTTATTATAGAATTTATTAGGATACAAAGCTGACGTTTCGGCGGCTTCGCCTTCTTCAGAGTCTGGGAAGGTCAAATTGAGATGCGATCTACTCAGCCAAGCACTTTCATAAGCCAAGCAGATAAAACTTAACAGATAAATTTGCGTTTGCATAAGAAACAGCTTCATTTAAATACCTACCGTTTAATCGTTGCAAGTACTCGAGTTAGTTGGTGGATAGCTTAGAATTATCAATCAATGTCGAGCTTAACAGAAAGTCGATCTCGGGAATTGCTGATGAAAATTGGTTTGAGAATTCATTGGTGCCAGAGTTTTGTAATTCCATACCACTGACGTGAATTATTTATTTTGTTGAGAAAATTGTGTAGATAGTAATGATGGTGTTTTTGGTAATTAACGTTGTTCTCGGGATGTTTGTAGTGCAGTAGTTAGAAGCCTTCTGCAATACACGTGAGGTCGATCCCGTGCTCCACGCTCACCAAGCCTTTCATCCATCCGGGGTCGGAGAATTGGTACCAGACTTCTTTGGGAGGGTAGCACCACTGAATCGATACATCGGTAGGCCACCTAGAGTCATTTTATAAGCCAGATATGCTGCATTCAATCACCTCTTACAATACTTAATGAAGTCGGCGCATCCTCACGGATTGATCAACGCCGACAGCTTAACCAGCTTTGTCAGCTTTAATGTTTTCAGAATTTAGGGTCTCAGAAAAATTGATAGCAACATTAAATGTTTAAAATTTCCAACGGAAAAGCGTCAGCCGCAAACTTGAACGGTTGATCAGCACGCACCATCGTGTAATAACGGACGAAATTAGTTTTGTTCATTAGCATTTATCTTCGAACTGTGATCTTCTTCGCAATAAAGGGATGTAGTATATGTTAAGGGCTCAAGAGGGATCAGGTTTTTATCCAGGTAAAATAACAGAACTTTTATCCTGTAGGAAATTCTTTAGCAATCCTGTAGGCGAGAAGATTTGTGGGTTGTAGTGGTTTTTGTCGGTTTTACTAAAATTGACAATGAGCTGAGAGATACAGACATATAGTTGCAAGCCGACATTTCCTTCGCATCTTATGCGTCCTGTAGATGTCGTGTCGTCAAACAACGGCTAACAACAAAAATCTGTGCAAAAGCACTATCATATGTGCGTGGAAGTATTGTTACGCTAACGATAAAAAAAACTCGTTTTCATTTGATTATTAGTGGGCTAAGCAAAAATCAAAATAGCTTAAAAACGAATCTAATTATGGCTTGTCCTCTTACGTTTCTTCGAGAAAAAGAAAAACAGGAGTGTAACCAATTTCCAGTTCCCGGAACCGAAGTTCTATTAACATCAGCATCGTTCAGTAAGTCATTGTCTTCTTGACTGGCAAACGCGAAGTTGTTATATTGTAATTATTCATAATAGCTGGAGTCTCGGCGCTTCTCTACCGAATTCGCTTGGCCGGCACTTTTTAAACATCACTTTATAGTTGTTTACTTTGTTGGAGATAAAAGACGGGTTGGACGGGACATTATCTTCGCTAAACTTCTTGTTTGGGATATTGTGAATAAACATCAGGTTAGGTAGTAGTGATTAAAATACCGCAGGACATCAAAACGTTGGCTAGTTCGTAACGGTCTGTTTTGCCGACTGTGAATAATACAAAACTGGATAACCTGACCTGATGGTAGAGACGGCTGTTGCATGAGTTCGTTTAAGGTGTACTTAATCTTTGTGAAACGTGTGGAACGAATATGTTGACGAAACCTGTAGACCATTAGGCGTATGTATAAAGAGGACATATTTGAGAAAGCTAAAGCCAAGCAGAACACTCTGCTGGGCACAGATGAGGCACAAAATCCTAATAGAAAAGAACATCAACGCGTAAAACTCTTAAAGCGTTCTGGATTATTTCAAAAAATCCAAAAATGGACCAGGAGGATTGCCTTGTGGTCACACTTGGCTTACCGCCATACCTCAGGCCAATTTTTTTGCATAAGCTAGACACATTTCCCACTCACGTAAGACTATGTGCGGCTGGTCTCCACGAAACAACTGCATGGCTTAAGAAAAACAAAACGATGGATGTTCAAAAGAAGTTGTTAATTATGCGAGTGAAATTTGATTAACGAATTTCATTTAAGTATCTAGTTTCATCACCCGAGGTTACGAAAGTGTTTGACTAAGCAGATTGCGTGTCAATTCGACCTTTCCGGACTCAAGAAGGCGAAACCACCAGAACTTCAACCGGTATTGTGTTGAACAAATTTTGTTATTGACAACCTCGTGTCTGTTCAGAAATAAAACAATGAGCCGTTTCTTGGTGTGCGTATTTAAACACATAATATGTCAGTGTTGAATTTTAAATGTTGCCCAATACAATAGTTAAGGAATTTTGCATATGGTTAAGGCTCTTTGATGTGCAGATATTTTAATACATCGTAGACTTTTTTATTGATTAATATAAAACATGTAATTTAGCCTTGGTGTGGAGCCTGTGGACGACAATATCATCCGTCAACCACCTCGTAACGTTCGTCAGCCTATGCTCACCGTTCGATTAATGATCGACATTCTGTGCTCGGCTGCGATCATTGTGTTCGGTACCTTATTCATCTTCTACAAAGAGGTTGGTTTTCTAGATAAATAAATTTCTATGATGAATATGTATATGGTGACCCGTTGTTTAAATTCCAAGTCTTCAACTCATATCTTTAAAGTCTTTCGAATTCAACCTCATTTCGGACATGACAGTGACAAATTGTTACAACGTTTAAGATGTCAGCTGACAGCAAGGTGACTCCACGTGATACTACCATGACATTTACGTGTTTTGTATTGTTCGATATGTGGAATGCTTTAAGCTGCAGAAGCTCACGGAAAATGATCTGGCAGATTGGACTGTTGCGGTGGGTGATTTTCACTTAATTATCTAGGAGCAACGCTCATTGAGGTAAGATGATTCACAAATGTGAGGTTCGAAAAGGCTTGATAGAAATTTCGTCACTGGCGAAAGTCTAAAACGAAGCGAATTTCGTTGTATGGCGGATAATGTGAGCATTTTTTTGTTTTGTATTTTACATGACCTGTCTTCACGTCTACTGTGCGGATCCTAGCACTTCTCACATCAGATTCCTCTCCTCTCATCCATGGTCCACGGAGATGTTCCAACTTTACTTGTGGCTTCGGTTACTGCTTGAGCACTTTCATTTCGTCTTGAATGTCATTAAATGCTGGTCGAGCGATTCTCCCTGGAGTCCTGAGATAGCCCGGCTGAAGCGTTCCCAAATGGATTGTAGAAAGTCGTTTTTTCCCAGATAAATGCAGTACCAATTTCTCGACCCTGGAGGGATGAATGGCCCGGAGCGGAATCTAACTAGTACCATGCTCGTGATGACGAACACCGCTACCACTGTGCTATCCGCCCTACAATGTGGGCATTTTGAGCGCAAATCGTCGTTTGCGTCAATACGAATCTATTTAATTGTTTCTATGGGAACATATGTCTTACTTCTTAGTTTATACTTTCTTCTTGACCAAATTAATTCCAGTAGATGTTTTTTAGGAATCGGATGTTTTGCATCGCCGTTACCGCTTCACTCATTTGTCAACTGTTTGTCATCTACTGGTCACCACTGCAGCACATTTTTCAGACTGAAGCCCTTTCTTTACTAGGTATGATGCTCTGAGCTTTCTCACTTTATTACATCATTTTAGAAAACCATCATTCGTTTGTGCTCTTTCTTCAAGTTCCTACATACTATGGAATTTTGTGGTATGTCTGTTTCCATAGATGTATTGCTAAACACTTACCTACCACGTATTTTCTCATGCTTATAAATTGAAATAATGTCTTATGTTCCCCCGTAACATTCGTTGCTATGGTTTGATGGTGAATGAAAATCAAAATCGATGCACACTTTACTTATTGTGACGCTCGAAAAAGCTCACAAGCAAACGCTGCCGAAAATCTGACGAAATCTTTCTTTGGTAACGTGGGCAAAAATTTCTGTCTTAAGAAAGTTTGATATTGGACTTGATTTGTCACTGCTCTCAACTTCAAATGGAACCTCTTTCTGAACAAATATTCTAGTGAAACCCAAAAATAGCTTATGTACGCTTCGGTGGAAAATTCACTCCATTTTCATTTCAAGTTTTACTTGCGCGTAACAAAATCAGGTTATATTTTTCGACTTCCCAACATATTCGCTGTAACGCCTAGCTTTATTTCGTTGAAGCAGAGACGGCGTGCAAACTTTGCACATTGAAATCAGCGCACGATTTTCATCATGCAACCACGAAGAGGAATTTGAACCACCATACTTATAGTAATAGTAGTTGTATTAACAGCGTATACGTTCAACACTTAGTACGGAAGGTGAGAGATCTGGAATTGCATGTTTATGTTTGTATACCAGGAGACACCCTTACACATACCTTACTAGTAGTACTCTCGACAGCGAAGATACCACGGTAGCTTCCTCACCAGCAGCAGTCTGTTACGGTCAAATGAGCAAACTTGTCCGAAAAAAGTTTTTTGGAATGTAAATTGTGGAAATTACTTCTTTTCGGCCAGCATCTGCTGTGTAGTTGTTTTGAAAGTCCAACGAAAATGTTCTGAAGCAAAGGAAAACAGCTGGGAAGAAAATGCGTTGAGATCAACGCACACCGTAGAGAAGGTGTTGGTAGTGATCATGGTTGTTCTTATTGTCGTTCACCTTTTTATTTCTTTCTTTTATATTTTGTTTTGAATGCAGTGTGGTAATCTTCGTACTTATGCAGTGATGCCTTCACATATTTTAGTATCTCAGTCACTTTTACTTTGATCGGTCTGAGTTTATTTTATTTTAGATATCGTTCTTCTTTCCACCATGACGTCATCAGTGTTTATCTTCAATGAGACACGCAAGTATTTCGATCTTCGGCGGACGGGCATCCATTCGAAAACTGAGGATCTTTTGTAGGCCTTTGTAGCTGCTCAGCAGTTTCAGAGCACTTGATCCCGATCTTTTCTTTACCTTGATTTCTTCTTTCCATGTTAATTTTTCTTGCTTTTCTTTAATTCTTATGCACCAAGTTTCTTTGTTGAAAACCGATTTGTTGGGTAATCTACTGTAGTAAAACGAACACTTTGTACTAAACGGAATTTGTATTGTTTTTGTTCGATGTCGCAGTGATTCCTTTGACATTCATCAAATTTATCAGTCCATATCATATATCACGCTCAAAACTTACCAACGATTTATTGTGTAGAAATTGTTAGGTGTGCCAAGTGTTCTATCTAGAGGTTATTTATTTATTTATTTATTTATTTTTATTCATAATTGGTTGTTAATGATCTGAATAAAAATAGCAAGGAACAAACGGAGCTACCGTATCCTATAGCATTTAAGGATTTTTGAATTTTTTATCACGTTCTTGTCTGTATATCATTCATAGATGGTTAGTTACGGATTGTTTGGAATGGATGAACATAGATTGTGAATTATTTTATTTCGTTTGGAAATAAAAATTATTCAGATGTACAGCTGGGAATTAACATATTTCCATATCCATAATGTTACGTGTGACTTCCTTTTAATGAGATGTTGAAATTAATGAGCTTCATAACAAAAGCATAGTGCTGAAAAGATTGGATTTTTGTTGGAAAATGCCGCTTCGTAAGCATTTTATCTGCCTAAGAATAACCTTTGTGTTTTAATCCGTCCAATCCTATTGCTGCTGAGCCATTAGATGCTAAAATGCATGAGTATTCTTCGGAAAATCACTGACGCAATGGATTCGTCCGTCATTCGATTGGATACAAACTGTGATTGGAGGCATTGTGACCTAGTGTTTTTCCGATATAACTAGTCAACAAAAGCATTCAAGATTGCTGTCACTATGTTACTATACCAGGACGAACGTCATCGCTGCTTTCGAAAACTGGCTTTCACTTAACTTTCGCAGATGAATAGTCAATAGTTGTACTATCCCGACGACCTTAAACTGGACTATTTACTTAGATACTTGGATGGCCCGTCCTCATTGGTTGTCTAGGCCTCAGCATAGCCTCCAATGTTTCTGTTCTGGAGTTTTGCTGTTTTAGCTATCGTGGTTCCCTAGAGTCCCGAGGCCATCCAGGCCAACAAAGTCTGGCCCAGGTCGTCATCACCACAGGCAATGGCCGTGCTTGTGGATTAGTGGGAGATTTTCCACCATGCGACTGGTTTGTTACCAGGAAGGACGGTGGTGGATCCTGGCATTGCTTTTACTCTTAACTGGGGTTCTTGATGAAAACGCCAAACACCTTGCCAGCTTGGAGACCCTTCCGGGGTGATGAATTCCCTGCTGTACAGCGCTTCTCGACACCCAGGAGCACCTCCCAGCCACGATGAGGCAGTAGGTTGTTGGGGGGTTACATTAGACTATTAGCAATAATTTAATGAACTGTTAACTAAACTAATTGACCAGCTTCAACTAAATTGTTGGTAAAAACTATAGCTCTGGAATGGGCACGTGTGGCGCAATGGTTGGAGGTGTTTTGCAATACACATGGGATCGATTCTCGCGCTCCTGGCCTACAAAGCCTTCCATCCCCCGGGGTCTCCAATTTGGTACCAGACTTGTCCGGGAGGGTAGCGGCACTGGCTCGATAAATCGGTGGGCCACCGCGAGTCATCGTGAAGGCCATATATGCATTCAATCACCTCCAACGATGCTTAATGAAGTGGAATGCATGGCGCATTCCTAAGGGATTGATTAACGTCGAGAACTTTATCCTTATTAATCTTTTATAGCTATGGACAGTCGACTAGAATAATTGCGATTCAAAAAAAGGCCCAGACATCGAAAGTTTAGCCACGAAAGTTTTTATAACAACATCGTGTTAGCTCATGAATATAAAAGAATTGTAACTGTGATTAACATCATATCACAACTTACAGTTCCTCATCGCAAAAAAAGGCACTGCAAAATTGCGAAGATTGGAGATAAGTTTGTCGAAATACTCAGAGAGAAACTCGTCAACCTGGTGCTAACAGTGTGTCAGTACCCATTTCGTGGGAAAGTATTTCAAAAATTACTTCCTAACACGCAATTGTCGCCATGTCGCTAGCAAAAACGCCTGTTTGATTGAAGTCCGAGGAGAAAGGAACAAGGCTGCTGATGCAAAATTAACAAGAAAAAATCTCGCTTCTTTTTGACACATGACTTCCTGATGAAGACGAAACTGATGATTAAAAGCAGTGAGTTCGATGCGAGACGAAGACGCCACATCGAGAAGAGGATGAACTGTGAACCATCGACAAGGATCATCGGCTTTAATAAAAACGAAGACGTCGAAACGTTAGTCGAATAAACATCCCTATCAGCTTCGTGTAAGCTCAACAATACTAACACACGTTGATTAAAAGGAGTATTTTGCTCCAGAATTTTTGTCCAGGAAACTGTTGGTTGTTTAATCATAAAAAGGGAGTTTTATTCCGGCTTCGTTGAGTGGCTTCGGATACGCTCGTTGACTGAAGTTCTCTTCTTGGTTATGACTCAAATCAGACAAGTATAGTCAGGCTAGCATATCGGTATGCTTGATACAGATGTCATGTCGAAGCTATAAGTGAGATCAGAAGTAAAAATATAGGAATGCCGAGATGTGAGCAACTCAGAACCTTAGTCGGGTCTCGAACCCGTGATTACCCTTACTAGAGGTGCACGTGCTGTTCACAACACCGTTAAAAAAGTTGGCGGACAATTGGACTTAAAACTGTGATTTTGACTGCAGCTTTCGCTTAAGTGGGTTCAACGCCGATTCGTACCCGCCGACCACACCTGTTGATGGCTGAATGATGCTAGTACCGATAGAGCCGAAACATAGCTGAGAGAAATGCAAATCAAGGCCTTTGGTTGGTGTAGCGAATAGCAGAGGAGCGCCCTGTAAGGAGGCAAATCGCAAATTCGAAAATCAAATGATGTTTACAGTTTTGATGATATCAGCATAATTGTGGTTGTATTTTACATAGTAATTGCCATGAAAAAAGAATGGGCGCTAAATAGAAGTTAGAACAAAATGATATAACAAAGATAAGTAAGTAATCAATATTTTTTTACCAATGTAAACGGTTCCAACATCAAAGAATAAAGCAACAACCCTGTGTGTGCTCATCAAGAGGAGAGCAGGGATGAGATAAATTCTTTTTTCTCCTCTCTCCTTCCCTCTCCTTATCCCAGTCCTCTCTTCCTCCGTGATGGTAAATATCAGAGTTTATTGAAAGACTTACTGTTCAAAGCAACTTATTCGACTTCCATACTGAGCAAACTATGTTTTTCCAAATGAAACGTACTCCTTCGCCTCATTCTGCTAAATTCCACGCCGGTGGGAAAGTTATAAAAGTAGATTACTTTGTGAATGACCTTATTTTTAGGCAGCGACTGTCTCTTACTATTTACCACTAGTTAAAAGTTCCTCGTCCACAGTCATAACCACACATGATCACGCCCAAAAGCTTTTTCGAGCACTATCGAGTCTTCGAGTAATCGAATCTGACATTACTGAGATTTAGTCTAAAGTGTGTAACCCACAAATGATTTTAGAGATAAGTCGACGCTTGGAAATGAACACCGTTAGATTTGTGGTTATCGGTTGCTTGACAAATCCCGAATGGGATTCATCCCATCGTCATAGCTACCAGGAAGAGATGAGAGTGCATTTAACGTTTCCGTTCTTGCTGGGTGGCCAATAAGCCCAATCCATCAGTCTGACAGCGGCTGCATCGGCGTCAGCCACGGACGCTTCAGCCGCCCTCGTGTGGCGCATCCACTCGGCCAATCGAGAGGGACGTTGACAGCTCCGGCGTGCCCACGGCTTCTGCCAAAATGAGGAGTGAGTTTCAGTGTTTCGTTTCTTTCTAGTCGTTGATAGATTTCAACTAGTTGTCCTTGCTGTGTTTCGACGAACATGCTGATACTTTACCTCAGATTGTTCCTCCGTATTACGAATTTAGAACCGTCTTTCATGATTTCGTTCTAAATTCGGATTTCCGCCGTTGTCTTATCGTTGCATTCACTGCTAGTTCAGTTATTAGCTTGAAAATTTGAACCTTCAGTTTACTTGAACCGTTGGCGCGAAAATGGAGACGTTATCAGGGACTTTTTATAAGATAAGCCATAATATGTTACTTTCCTTTACGATAACATGAACAAAAAATCGCAACGAGTTTTCGAACTGAGGTTCTCGACGCCATTTCATTTGCATCATCACCTCATTTGACGTGTAGCAATACATTTCCCAGTTAGTTTCTTTAGAAATCACTTACGTCTACGATTAGATAGTCCACGTTCCGAAGGTCCCGCGAATCCCAATGCAGGCTATCTATCCTAGACAAGTTTATTACTAAGTGGTTCTATGTCTTACTGCAGTTCATTGGTGAATGCTGCTTGTTTCCATGCATCATTTCACATCTGGTTCATCTCTCATAAGTGCTGAATACAAGAACAGCAGGGTTGTGGGTTTTCTCCGATGACCTCCTTCGCTGATGACCTGTTTTTAATGTACCACACAATTGTCCTGCCGTCACTGACGATAAATCGAGGCGCCAGTAGTCTTCGTCGCATCGACGGTGACCTTCTGAAAAGCACATCATCAGCTGTTTTTCTGTCGTTGACCATTGAATTTAATGTCCTGTCATCGGTCGAACTAATCGTCATGTTTTCGAGTAATTCAGATATAATTTGTACGATTTATCCACACGGACAGGGTCATTCGCTACCTCTTAATCGATATCGACAGGAGACCTAACACTTCCAGTGTTACCCATTCGTTGGTACGATTCAATGTGTGCACATTTTACACATTTCATGTGGGGAGTAACATAGACGCGTAAGAAGAACCACATGTGAAAAGAGCTGGCGAGGCTCTTTCTTTCAGTCGCAATATAACCTATGCCAGCCGTTTTCGACGCTTGCAATACTACAGCTGTGCAGCAAAATT